CCTTTACTGCACATATCTTCCCATCTTCCTGTCTGTGTGGCTCCGGTCCCTGCTGGCTTGGGACTGGATAGGGCCTGGATCTCCTGTCTGTGATCTGCTTTCAGGGTGGCAAGACTGGCTAAATGTTAGTGTCAGTCCTAAGTTCTAGCCGGTGCGTGATTGATGCAGCAGAGCTTGCACATGTACATAAGGCGGCTGAGCTTTCTGTTGTGTTCTCCTTTCCCAACGTTAGTCTAGGATGGGTGGTTATCTGGCACTGGTTCTTGACAAACCCGCAAAGATGCGCTTGCACAGGTAACAAACCTACCTTTGGGTGGGGGAATAGATCTATACTCGCAGAAATAAACTTGGTTCCCTAGCTGAAGAATGAGCAGCTGTGTCTCATTCAACTCTCCTTTCTTTGACCAGTCTTGAGGGGAAAATCTGGTGAGGCAGTCCAGTGAAAGTAAGTAAGTCAAAGTAATCTCCAAGTGATATTAGAGTAATAGCACTTTAAAAGGGGGGGGGGGTTATAGTTTGTACTTCCCTCTCCTTTAAAGGAAAAAGCTATATTGCAAGCCTTTGAAACTGCAGGCTCTCAAAGGAGTTCCTGTAGTTACTAGCCAACAAAGTAAAATTGCAGGTTTGTGATGCTTGTAGTGTTTACCTAGACCTATGCAAGTTATTTTAATGCAGGCTGATGTGAGCCCTCCTTACCAGGCTCTCCACTGGTTAACCAAGTGCGATTCCAGTTGAATGAGAGAGGGGAAATGGTAGTACAGGTATTCCCTACAGCAAGCCATGTCTTGCAAAGCATGCTGCTGCCAGGAACTGGGGGTAAGCCTGGCTTTGCTGACTGTAATGCCTTCTCCAGTCTGGGGAAGCTCCCTGCACTGCAGATGCAGCTGGGGTGAAGAGGGACATTGGCGTGAACCCAGCTCATAGCAACCCTCGTCCTGCCACCCACAGTGCTGGGTATCCCTGGCAGAGAGGATTTTGCAGGATGGGTGAGTTCCCAGACCGCATCCTGCAGTGTGCTGGTGCAGTCTCTTGGAGCAGACGTGTTGGCCTGTTTCCTTTAGGCGATGTGTGGCCTGAAGGTGTCCAGGGCTGCGGTGTGGCTTGGAGGCGCTGGCTAGCCCGGACAGACGCGCTGCAGGATGAAGCAAGCAGCAGGAGCTGCCAAAGATGTTGCTGGCTCATCCCAAGGCACAGCCATACCTGGAGCTCCCTAGCTGCCAGTGCTGCGAGGCCTGGGGCTCTCGGGCACTTTGGGGTCTTGTGCTGGGCTCTCAAGGTCAGGAAGCTTGGCCCTGACAGGCTTGTGCTATGTTGAGTTTTCTCAACAGCAGCTGTGGCCGTGGTGGCCGATTTTAGTGCTTGCTCAGGGTGAAACTGGAGTCCTCACTGCGATGCGATACCATGTCTTAGCGTTTACCCCAGGCTGTGGGCTTTGTCTACAAGCCTGATGGTCTCCTGGTCCAGCTGCATGCTAACTTTAATGGGGTAATTAACTCTCTGGGGCTTTTGCTGTTTCAGTAGCTATCCAAAACTAAGGTATGTGCCAAAATAAAATGCATGCATTTAAGGAATTGTGGACTTATTTACAGTATCTGTCTGAAATGTGATTCCTTCCTCCAGCTTTCCTCTCTTGGAGAGTTTGAGAAATGGTCTCTTCCTAATGCTGTTGATGTTTTTGTTGGCGCTGACCTTTGCGCTTTGCCTTAGGTCCTTGTCTTTGCTCCTGGTTTTTCTAATGTTTGAATTAGTCATTGTTGTAGCAGAGTCACTTAGCCACCTACTTTCAGAACCAAGTTTCCAAAGTTTTGGTCAGACTGAAAGTTTTCAAACTGGCCTGAATGCACTTCCCAGAAGTGGAGAGCAGAGCTGGGTAATTCAGGGTGCCAAGTGCAAAGCACAGAAGGCATTTCAGTGGCCTGGAAGTGCCTGAGCCAGCAGCTGCAGGACCTGTGAATGCCCTAGGGCACAACTGCAACGCAAATGTTCCAGTATCAATAAGAACATAAAGCCACAAATTTTGAAGTAGGCTAGAATGTGGCTTAAGGTGCTTAGGTTTATCCGGACAAATTATGCTGTGGATATGCCTTAGACAGAAATGAATACTTTCCCCACTTGATATCTGTGGAGTAGGCAGTGCTGCAAAAGAGATTTCTGAACCTGCATGTCTCAAGTAGACCTGCTGGCATCAGTTGGGAGCCGGTGAGCTCTCCAGAGGTCCTGCAGCTTGTGGCTGCCCAGCACGCTTCCTCGAGTCAAACCTGGATATTGTAAAGCCACGGAGAAATGAATGCAGTGCTTATAACCCTCGGTACCCGCAGATGGGTTAAAGCCAACCTGAATTTAATGACAGCAGTAGAGCAGCTCCAACACTTCACTGCGGGCTCTTATTAAAAGAAGTGCTTGTTGCATCTAAACAAGTGCTGAAAGTTTCTGGGAAGCTGCGGCCTCCCCTGGGGAGGCGGAGGAAGGCAGGTCTGTACCATATCCCATCTCCCCTGACAGACTCTTACAAAAACACTTCCAACTGGGCTACCTCTGAAGCTAGTGTCTAATTAATTAAACAATTTAATGTAGTCAATTGATTTTAAATCATTAAACAATTTAATTCATTATTCAGCTAAAATTTAATTTGCATATGCTGTGTCTACACCAGCCTTCACCTGTTAAAACTAGCATATACTGCACTGCACTGAACTTAACTTTGGCCTATGTAAAGAAATGCTGCTCGGCTTCTTGAAACATCCCGAACAGCTCTCTTGTCGAGGCAGAGATTTCATCCCTTGCTGGGTAGTGCTCAGCAAATGACACCTTGGTGCTTTGTGCCCCTTCCTGGTGCCCCCCCTGCGCCCCTCCACGGCAGCTGCGGCTCACTCCAGCCAAAGCTCTGAGCGCAGGCAGGACGGCACTTAGTTTTTCTGGCAGCGTCAGCCCTTAGTATGTCTGTGCACTTCAAGAAGTGGAAATACGGGGGTGGGAGAAGCACATGATGATCCAGTTTGAGTATGGATGGCTTAGTTTTGTTGTTTTGTGTACCTCCTAAGTGTACCGAATGCCAGCAGTCTTATTTCTACATAATTAAATGCCATTGCATCATTAATATAGGATGGTGTTGTATTGCTTTTTCTTAATTTTTTTTTATTGCTGTTGATTCAGTTACATGTGAACTGTTACACAATGTAAGCCACCTGTCTGACCTGACTTCCTGCTTGGAGGAATCAGTGTTCTCTCCTCTTGATCAACATGATAGCCGCATCGCTAGACTATGCGACCATTAAAGGGAGACACAATTTACTAAGTTTAATGATAATATTTATGTTTAAATAAACTTTAATTGCAACAAATCATACTTCAGTTCCAGCTACCAGGTTTGCTTTAAAATGAAATTGAATCTGTGCTTTCATTTTACCTCCCTCCACTCCAAGTGGAACTTCATAGTGCCTAATGGAAGCCTGGCGCACGCACTGACTGTGCTCGCCCCTTCTGATAAGGAGCAAGAGAGAGTTGGAGTTGCCAGTACACCAAAACTGTATCATCTAAAAGCATCAGCAAAATCATTAGTTGTAGATGCAGGTGTAATTTCAAACTTGATGCTGGGTACTTAGGGCAAAAGAGACTCCTTGTTGCTAAAGGGTTCAAGGTTAGGCCTTTCTTGCACCATAAAATTGCTGCGGAGAGCAGCTCCAATGGGTGACAAATATTAAACACGGAAACCTTAGTTACGCTTATTGGGTCTGTCACTCGCATGGATTTGAGTGGGAGAGATTTTTAGTCTGTTTTCTTCTTCCTCTCTTTAAAAAGAACAATATGAGCTAGTCAGGGATTTAGTTTTCTATAAAGGGCTTTGGGTCTGTTTTTCAGGCTGTTATTGCATTTCTCCTTGGCAGCTTGTTTGCCCCGAGCGTAAGGCTCTGAGGACTGCTTCTAGGCTTCCAGGATTTTCTTCGGGGAAGTGATTCTCCTCGTGTATGTTTTGTTTGTGCTAGATTGGCCTTGAGCAAGTGATTATATAAGCTGTGTTATCTTAGTTGCATTCTAGTATTGAGGTTTTCATGCTAGGAATGTGGCACTTATTTTTCCTCTCTTTGAAGAGTTGGGGCTTTCCTTATATGGGAAATGGTGTGGAGCACTCAAGGGGCTTGTAGAGGAGACTTGTAGTGAAATTGGGAATTGGGGCAGGAGGGGTGTCAGGTTGCTTGGACAGATGCTAAGGCTTTCCCAGGCAGATCCGATGTGTTCAGACTGCCAATCTCACGTGTCTAGCATAACTTCTTTGCAATATCCATGTCTTTACAAGTGTTCAAGAAAATCAGGACCGCAGAAGTGACCAGTGCAGCTGAATGAAGTGTAGCAAGTGCTTCAGTTTGGGGTGTGTGCGCCCATGCACCACTAGAAGCGCGAGGAGGAACACGTATGCCCCTGCCTGCTGCTTTAGCTGGAGGAAGGAGAGGAGGAGGAGGAGGCAGCAGCTGCTGAGTGGCCTCACTATGTCGTGTCAGCCCTTGTCCTCGCTGGCTCTGTGCCATGCCTGCTTGGGCTGTAGGCTTTCCAGGGCACTTTCTGTTTGCAGAAATCTCTACCTCTGTAATCCCTGCATCAGTTATCTTAATCATAATATCAGATATCTTAAATAAGCATAGAGAGAGGAGTGGTTTGGGGGGGGGTTATATGTGTGTGGTTTTGTAGTCTGCTTATTTTTGATGTGGCAGAGGAGGGAGAGAGGACAGAAAATTCATCTGAAAACTACCCACTAGTTCACTGGCCAGATCTTTTATGCTAGTCTGTTTAGCATGGATGGCTCTGCCTGGGTCTAGGCATGCCATAGTAACAACTCTTGTCTTGTAATTCAATGCATCTCATTTGCTTACAAGTTTGGCAGAGCTGAAGTGCTCTAACATTTGTCCCATGCTGCACTGGTACAGCACTCGATATCAGCAGTCTATTTATAACGAGCTTCTAGGCTGAAGCAATCGGGCTGAGATCCGCTCTTAGAGTGCGCTTGAAGAACTTGTTAGATATACATATATATCTTTGTTCTCTGGAGCAGTGAAGAGAGGAGGAAATCTTCAGCTGCTGGGAGCTGGTTTTGCACTTTGTGGATATCATGGTGCTCTGTAGTTTTGCAGTTGGCAGGTGGCAGCGAAGATGATGTGCAGAGGATGAAGGTCACTGGAAAGGGCTTTGGGAGAACTGCTGTGAATCCAGCATCTAATTCTGACCGAGATACTGGAAAGGAGGAAGGAGATGTATACTTAAGAGTATATGGACACAGATCCAAGTCAGTTATTGATCCTGTGCTTCTTGTCACCTTGGGTCCAAGTAAGAATTTTCTTTGGAGAATTGGGCTGACTGTGTGAAAACGTTAACAAATCCAAACTGGAGAGGGTGAGGTCTGCCTTGTGGGAATTGCCTTGTGGGGACTTAAATAGATGTGGGCAAACAAGAGATTTGCAGACAAAACTAACTTTTCTAATACAGTGCTGTATGAGCTGGGTTGCTTGTAATCATGGGAAACAGCATTTTTGCAAACTGCTGTAGGCATGTCACTGATCTAATCTTCCAGACACGCAGCTTTAATTCGTGTGATGAGAGGTCACCCCTCTTACCAAAACCTCCCGCAAGCTGCACTGTCTTCCTGGACATGCCAGAAGCTTCCCAGCGTGCTGGGCCATATCCAGATGTTATCCCAAGCGAGGCAGTGACTGAAAGCCTGCAGAAATGCACAGAGCGCGTCCAAGACTTACCCAAGGCCAAGGGCGAAGAAGAAACGGCGACGACCTGCGATAGCAGCTGCTCGAAACTCAGCGTTGCTGCCACTGGCCTACTGCAGCAGGCAGAGGCATCCTATGCCTTGGCTGTCCTTCCCCTCGACCTTGAGAAAGGGTCAGCAGTGCTGTTACGTGGTGCTCAGTTGCTCGAGGCCTGCCAGCGCCATGTGAAACTTGAGGATGGCAGTTTAGATCGTAGATCGTGCAACCAGGAAGAACATGTGGCCACTGCGGCCTGCAGAGCGCTTCGCCCCGACTGCTGCAGGGAGGCGACAGCCTTGAATTCAGAAATGTCCTTCACAGATCTGGGCAGCGTGTCAAAATGCAGATCTGCTGCTCCCTCCTTGGGGAGCTGTGAAACACTTGAAACGTCTACCTCTGATCTGTCAGCAAACACAGAAAAAATCCCATGCGTCCCAAAGACAGTCTCGTCCTCCCTCCACGATGAGACGTTAGCTCAGACTCAGGATACAGGTGCTGATTTTGTATTGACTGACTGTACTGCTTGCCCCAGCGGCAGCTTAAATTGTGACCCCGACTCTAAAGTGCATGTACTGCCATCAAAGCAGCAGCAGCAGCAGCAGAAGAGGAGGAGGAGGAAAAAGAAGCTTACACTTCTAGGTGCTCAGCGGAGGGGCTCTCGATTGCCCCTGATGTAGCTGAAAGACCTGGATGCCTGTGAGGGGCTGGGGTGGTTGTGTGTGTCCATGGCATGGGGCAGGGTGAAGGAGAAGGGAGGCAAGTTTACACTTAATCCCTTCTCTGGTGTGAGTTGTCCCAGCTATGCTCTTTACCAAAAAGTGACTTTTGTTCCTTGTCCACGTTAGCAAGCAAACATAGGGCTCTTCTGCTTGTAACTTGAATACTGAAATGTAAACCGAAATGTGATTGAAGCTCTGTAATAGTAATGGTTGTATGAAACTGCAAGGTTGGTGAGGCTGCCTAAGACATTGCACGCATGTGCAGTGAGAACTAAACTTCCCAAGGTCTGTTGCATCTATTATTGTATACGGTCGGCAGTGTTCAGATGTGAACCTTCTGCTGTGCCAAGGATCTTGATCAGTGTAGCTCGTGAGGTGCCTAGCACATCAGCAGGGTTGCTATAAATAGGAAGCATGAGCAGAATAGTGCCTGTCACCTTAGTGTGTGTACTCTTTGTCCAGGTGCAAGATGAAACTTAATCCTTTTACCTACCCTTTCCACCAGGTGTGAAATCCAGTTCAGGCGAGTATGTTTCTTACCGTTAAATAGTGTCTGTTCCTCCTTCTCCCCTCTTCAGTATTTTGCTTTGCCTGTTTTCCTGACAGTTTCATTTTAATATGTATTCAGGGCTTGTTCACACTCTGCTCCAGAGTAAAAATGAGAACATCCCGTTACTGCTAGGCTGCCAGCTTGCAAAAGGCAGAGCTTAACAAGTGCCTTAGACTCACTCGGGGGCACAGCCCAAGGCTGGAAGGGATGGGATCCTCGCTGCGACTCAGAGTATCCCCTGCAATACCGGGGAGCCTGGCAGCGACAGCCTTTGACTGGGAGTGCAAAACTGCATCTAGAGGCTGAGCGTGTGAGAGGAATGGATCTGCCTGTTGCTGTTTATAGCAGTGGGATCAAGGTTGGTAAGTGGGGAGGAGTGGTGGGAGTGCCTGAGAACAGGTGCAGTTGTCCTTCCGGCACACTTCGGTATGCTCCGGTGACGTAGTCCTGACCTGCATCGCGTTGCTGCTTTCTGTGCAGGCCAAGGGCTTATACCTGAAACAGAGCTTCTTGCCCACTTGATGCTTGAACTGAGAATGAATAACAGGGGAAAAAGTCTTTGCAGATATCTTTTAGGGTTTTTTTTTTGTTCTTTCTGCCATATTGAATCTGCTGAAATGGGAAGACAGATGCTTTTCCCAGTGGATGCCGTTTCCGGTGTCTTTGCTGGGGCTGGTGGGAAGGCCAGCCCTGCTTCTGCTCGCAACCTGCCTCTTGGGTGCTGCTATAGCACAGCAGTAAAAATCAGTGACCCACTTTAAGAACAGGCAGGTAAAGCTGTGCTTCGCAGCAGGGAGAGCGTGAGTCAGCACTGAGTAGGCAGCATGTCCTCCAGGCAGCTCACTTGCGTTGCTGTGAATTGGGGGTTGAAACAAAACATGCTGTTTTTGTTGAAATGTCCGTGTTCTGTAAAAACCCAACCCAAAAAACATTGTTGGCTGTAAATCGGAGGGTTAACCTGCTGGACAGCCGTTCTTTCTCAGCCCAAGTTTAATTTCTTGCTTCTCAACTGAAGACAGTGCTAGCTAGAGCTGGATCTTGTGGTGTAAGGGGACATGGAGCTGTTGCCTCTGTGTCCCTTGGGTCATGTGTACAGAGTGTGGCGCTGGGCAGAAGCAGGAATATTGGGCAAGATGGCAGGGCAGGGAATAAGAGCACAGAGACAGGAGCTAGCACATCTCATGAGCTGCTCCTTCTGCTTCTCAGCTGCCAGTAAAAGTCTGCTGTCCGTTTGTAATACGGTCAGAAAAGGTTCTTGGTCACAGAGGTGGCACCTGGGGGTGTCTGGGGCACTGGGTAGTAGTATCACTGCCCGTGCTCGAGCCATGCTTGTTCTTATATCCCGCTCTAGGGTATCTGCTGCTGAGGCAGTTGACGTTAGGTGCTGGGTCTCAGGTCCGTGCTACACCCTTCCACGTGGCCTTATGCCTAGGGACAAATTCTGCCTCCCCTTTTTGGCTGCTACAGCAGGAGCAAAAGTTCAGAGATCCTGCCCTGTTTGTCCTGCCCAGTGTGGGCAGGGGCTGGACCAAACTGAATTCAGGAGCCTGGGGCAAATGCAAGGGAAGGGCTAGTCCTGTCTACAAGACTAATAGCTCCAGATGTTGCATTTCTGGCTATAGCTTTTCTCTTCTCCATGTGTCCCAGGCTGTCGGAAAGGAGCTCTGGCTGTGCTGGCTGTGCAGGTGTAACAAGGGGCTCTCCCCAGGCCTCTGGGGATATGTTGTTTTTCTGAAAACATGATCTCTTGGGGCATTCTTGGGTGGTGCTTTTCCTCCTCCTTTCCAGCATTGCTGAAGCTTGCCAGAGCCGAGCCTCTAGCCTGGCTTGCCCGTGGTTTCCTCTGTCAAAGAAATGAACAGCTCACGTTAGGGACGTATGTGAGGTGACAGTGAACATGAGCAGCAGCTGCTGAGATGCTAAAGGCACCAGAGGCTGGTTACTGTAGCTCTGTTTACCTCCTGCTTTGAAGCAGGTAAGCTTTCCTTGCGTTCCCTGTGCTGTTCACTTCATCCTGTCTGAATTTGGGCTTGATGGTCGGCTTTGAAGCAGGTTTGCTGCTGGTTTCCCTATTCCCTCTCTGCAAGTGGGTAATTAATGGCTGTTTCCACTATTCCAACTGTAGCACTGTTCCTGCTATACCACCTCTCTCCAATGCTGTAATATATCCCCTTTCAGCACGGTCCCTAGCCTGCATTGGTGGGTTTCAGAAAAAGCTGCAGGTCTCCTAAAGCAGCTGACTGATCTGCTCTCTGGCAGTTTCTACTTTGGGGTAAGGAAAATGAACCATTGCCGAAGCATGAAGTAGGCGCAAAGATCTCCCTCTTCTCGTGACACCTCTGTCTAAATGAGCACCTAAAATGTTGTCACCTTTTTCTTAAATGAAATTGCTGAGGCCAAGCCTCACCCTGGCACCATGGGATCTCTGCAAAGTATTTTGAAAATGCAGAGGCATGCAGGGGTGTGGGAGCTGTTTAGGTTTCTGTGAAGTAACCTGGCTCCCGTGTGACTTACAGCTTAGCAGTGCAACTGCCGTCCTTTCCCCTCCCTTTTCTCTGGCTGAACAGTAGTGTACCAGGAGGTATGCTGGAAGCCGAGTAACATGTTGGTGCGGAGGTTACAGCTGCCTCCAGGCTGCAAAGCACCACACGCCCATATCTTTTAATTAAGAGGGTTAAGACTAGATTGAATGTGTCGTATGCTGACCCATCCTTCCTGCTTTCCTTCCCTCCCTTCTCCATGCACGGTTTAGGGAAGATGCAAACCCCGCAGGCGAGTGCGAGCGTGTTAATTATGCTGTGAGTGGAAGGGAGGGCAAAGCTTGGCACACCTATGTCTAGTAAACAGCAATTGCAGAGTAAAATGTTTGCTGTGTTTTAACCCCTGATTACCCTGATGAGGGTAATTTGGTTGCAGACTGTATCCCTAACTTAGAGGATTGTGCATTTGCTCAGACCTTACCTAAATCCCCCTCTTCTTATCCAGAGCACCCATCTGGCATGGCACTCATGAACGGCAGCGGCCCTCACGAGAACCTCAAGGGTGACAAGGACACTCGGCAGAACGGCCACGAGGAGGCTGAGCCAGGGGAAGATGGGAACGACCAGGAGGTCATTGTCATACAGGACACAGGCTTTACCGTCAAGATCTGTGCGCCCGGGATAGAGCCCTTTTCTCTGCAGGTACCTCCCTCCCAAGAGATGGGGGAAATAGTGGCCGGCAGAGGTGGGGAGAGGAGGCAGTGCTGGAGCAGGGCAGGCATGAAAGGATGCTGGGCCAGGCTGGAAGGTGCAGGAGAGAAGTTTCCTAGCCAGTGGCTTTTTAGGGCAAAACCAAAGAAGAGGCATGAGCAAAAGGCTGTCTGGCACAGGCCAGTGTAGGCTTTACAAGGGCAGAGGAGGATCTTTTGCTCCACATCCCAGGTGTGAGGGGAGAGCAAGTGGGTTGAACGAGGTGTAGCTGCCTCCTTGCCCATCTCTGAGGGGGTCAGGCATGGAGCTGAGCACAGAGGAAATGACCTTCCTGCTTCTGGGCCCCCTAAAGGAGGGACAAGAATGTGTAACCTCTGGGTCTGACTCTCCAGAAAGGAATACCTCTTGCTTGCGCAAAGGTTTTGACGTGATGCTTCTTCGACTGATCTGTGCTTGACAGTAATGTACTAGTATAGATAGACTCGGGAAGCTCCAGCATCTGCTTGGAGGTCCTGGGAACGATGCAGTCTCTGCTTTCCCCTCTGCACAGAGAGCTCTGCTGACTGCTGTAGCATGTGTCATGTGGACAACATCACGCTGCCAGATCAGGGCAGGCTTTGACACGCCTAGCCAATAGTCTGTTTTACCTTGATACGTCACTGAAAACCATTTGAAGCATCTTTAATTTGGGGGGGAGGAGTCTTGTGAGTCTAAACCCAGTGGGAAGTCTTGTCTCTCCATGACTGACAGAAAATGTAGTGAAACTATATCCCCCGTGGAACTAGCTGTATCTCAGCCCAGCTTCTTTTTCTCCTTTAAACCCTGTTGACTGTTAGTTTTAATAGGCTAATAATAGCAGACCATGTTGTTTACAGCAGCTTATGTAAACTACCCCAAATCCTCATAGCTTGAGAACAGTGTCAGTGGTGCTGGAGCCAAAGCAGGGAGGTACAAGAGCAGCCCTGATGCACAAGTTGGGGCAGTTTCTTGCGTCCTGGAAGCTGTGTGCTTGCAGGTGCTAGAGGTGCAGCATAGGCGTGCCATGCCACACTGGGTACTGGCATAGGTTGAGTGGAGGAAATGATCTGTTTTCCACTTGTAACATTCAAAAGCTCACTGCAAATGCACAGCGTGGATGGATAAGGGGAGAGTCACTGGTTTTCCCCCTTTCTTCTGCTCCTTTGCTGCCCTCTGCCCTATGCCAGTGCTTAGCACAGCATGAGGCTGTGACACCCATGGGTGCTGAGCCCTGTGGGTTGGAGCCAAGGTTGCTGACCCAAGCAGGAGAGGTGGGAATACCCTCCCAGGAGGGACAGGAATAGTATTCCTGGGAGAATGGAGTTTGCCTTTCCAAGCTCAAAGAGGTACAAGAGGTCTTTGATCCTGCACGGAGGAGCAAAACTTGGTGAGACATCTCCAGGAGGAATCTTTGTATGTGCTCTGGGGCAGCCCTTCATGCCTGCTACCCTCAAGCTTGTTGACACGCTGCAGTGTTACTGGGAGAGCAGGGATGTCTCTAGTGTGTTTGTGTCCCTGCTCTGGGTCCTCTTCTGATGTGTGCTGGAGGATGAGAGGGCTGAGAATAACTGGCTGGTTGGTTCTTTTCCTAAGGTGTCTCCTCAAGAGATGGTGCAAGAGATCCACCAAGTTTTGATGGACCGAGAGGATACCTGCCACCGGACTTGCTTCTCTCTGCAACTGGATGGCAATGTACTTGATAACTTTGCTGAGCTAAAAACCATTGAAGGACTGCAGGAAGGCTCGTTGCTGAAAGTAGTGGAAGGCAAGTTCCTTGAAGCTTTGGGAGGGAATGAATGATGGTTTTCGTAGGGACTGTTTTTGGCCATCTGGCAGCCTGCTCTCCTTTTTGAGACCCATATGCCAAAGGAATAAGCAATCATGTAACGGCAGTTTCTTTCCTCTCTTTGGGCTCATCAGAGCCATACACAGTGCGAGAAGCCAGGATACACGTACGTCACATTCGGGACCTTCTGAAGAGTCTTGACCCATCAGATGCTTTCAATGGTGTGGACTGCAATTCACTGTCATTCCTGAGTGTCTTCACTGAAGGAGATCTGGGAGGTATGGGTCCAAAAGACTCCTCCAGCACGCTGAATGTTTTCACTAACCCTTACTCCTTGCTTCATTAAAACACATCATAACCGTCTGCTGTCCCACATAATTCAGGAGTATAGAGAAATACTCTGAGTTTCCTGCTTTAACAATTTGGGGTGGGGGGAGTGAGTAGTAGGGCTATGTTCTTCAGCACTAACTTTCTGTTTTGGTTCTAGACAGTGGAAAACGAAAGAAGAAAGGTACTGAAATGGAACAAATTGACTGCACCCCTCCTGAACATATCCTGCCAGGTAGCAAAGAGAGACCCCTGTGTGCCCTTCAGCCCCAGAACAGAGACTGGAAGGTAGAGTTCTCCTGTGTCACTAAACAGCTATCAGCACATTCCTTGCAGCACACTGGTGTTCAGGGATTGAAACCTGCGCTGAAGTGGACTTTGGGATTTGCTCTGCTTGATGCTTAATGAGTGCTGGAATAGCACTGCTTAACCAAAAGAATAAAGTCCGAGAACTTGTGTGCAAAACACTGGACACCAACCTTGGGCACCTATAGAGCATAAAATGGCCTGTCCTGCTGGGAAGGGTAGCAGGGAAGGGAGAGCTGTTGTTCTCTGCAAAGTTTGGGAGACAGGATCTGCAGATCACTGCAATTACCCTTAGGTTTCCCATACCCTCCCACTTGGATTCCAGTAGCTTCTTTAGAAGCTGCTATTTGAAAACCAGTACATCCAGAAATCCATGCTTTGTGCAGCACAAAGGCCCAGAGTGTCTGTTTTTACCTATATCTTATGGAGTGAGAGGTAGCAAATTGAGGCAAAACATTACACTGCAAGTGGCTTGAAGAAAGCTGTGTTCTTAAGACCAATTTTCTTGTAAGCTCTGTTCCTGGACCAAGCAAGGGCAGCAGGTAAAGGGAATCTAGCTTGCACATCAGATGGCTTTGTCACTCAAGGGAATTAATTCCTATTGACAGGAGTTGCTTCTGTTGCGTTCTTTCATAGCCTTTGCAGTGCCTAAAGGTATTGACAATGAGTGGCTGGAACCCTCCACCTGGTAACCGGAAAATGCATGGAGACCTCATGTATTTGTATGTCATCACAGTGGAGGATCGGCACGTCAGTATCACTGCTTCCACTAGAGGATTTTACTTGAATCAGTGAGTAACTAAGACTCTGCCCTGCAGTGAGTGAGCTTGCATTAGCCAACTGAAAATGAACACGTTTTGGTCTGTCTTTTTTTTTTTTTTTTTTTTTTTTTTTTTTTTTTTTTTTTTTTTTCTCTGTGTGGCATTCACTGCTCACATGGGTTTGTAGGAGTTGTTATACTGGATTGGGCTATTCAGTTATGCCTGGTACCATTCTTCCACAGTGGATAACTGGCTGATACTTTTAGGGAAGTTGCAACATCCCATAATATTGTCAGCTAATTAAAGCATTTTGAGTTAGGAGGGAGTTCCTGCCTGACCATTGCAACTAACTTATTTTGCCCTAAAACAAGAGCACAGCCAGGGCACAGATCTGACTAGCAATGTTTTTTTACAGTGGCTATGAGGGGTTATTAAAGTGACTGTATTGTACTTGTGAAAGTAGAAGTGGCTGTCCTGAAAGAGGTCCAGGGTCTATCCAGCCTAGTAGTCTAGTAAAGAAGCCTGCTGAGTTGAGGGTAGGTGGAAGAACAAAAACCCTGCTGTAAGCTCAGCTCTGAGCAACCATCATTTCAGAAATGTCTCTGGTCACGATTCTGCAATCCAGACTATAGCCTGGGCAAGCATAACTGCAGGTTTGAGATGTATAAGGCTGTAATTCACTGAAGGGGAATGATGCTCCCTGAGGAGGGGAAAGAGAGCTTAAGATATAGAAGAATGTAAAAATTAAGCACATCTCTCCCTTTCCAAAAGGGAAGTGCTCTGTGTTAAACCAGCTTGTGGAAGAAGTAATTGAGAAAGAATCCTTTTGTTGTTTGTGGTTTCCCACCAGATCTGCAAAACTGAGTAATGATTTTAATTGAATGAAAGTAATGATTTTAAGAATATGCATCACTGAGTGCAGGTGCCTGGAAAGATAGTGGCACAACTGGAGCACGAAACAAGTGGCCTTGTTGGAGTTTGGCAAAACGTGACCTATGACTTAGGGAGAGGGGACTGTTTATATGGTCCTGACAGGTCAACTGCTTAGTACTCCAGTAAGCAGACTTGGTGTCTGAAGAGGGCACTTACTGTTTGGTATAGTTGGGTTCTCTGTTAAGCTAACATCTTGTCAATGTGTTTGGAAAGCTCTCTTTTGTGAAATCAGTGCTTCCTATCTATAAAAATAAAAGCCTCTTTTTAAACACAGTGGTGGCTGAGGAGGGTCTAAATGAGATTTGCTGTCCAGTCTATCAGGGCCCAGGCCCAGGGTTACTAATTGTGTCTTGGTTGGAGAGACTGGAGGGGGGTCTTGCAGCCCATCTGCCCATGTGCCACTTGGTCTCCATTTTGCAAACGAGGGTATGCTCTGCAGGCCTTTCATGCAGTGCATATATGAAAAGCTCTCACTCTTCCTACACTCTGTAGGAATGTGGCACAAGTCTTACCTGTGACAACAGCGTGCGTCTCTCTCTCTTTTTTTCCTTGCAGGTCTACTGCATACAACTTCAATCCTAAACCTGCAAATCCCAGTTTTCTCAGTCATTCCTTGGTGGAACTACTTAACCAGATCAGCCCTACCTTCAAAAAAAACTTTTCTGCTCTGCAGAAGAAACGGTAACAGCACTTTTTCCTCTGTAGTTGCTTTAGGTAGCTTTAGGTTGCTTGGGTAGCCCGATGGTTAAGTTGCTTGGTGAGGCCCAAATGTTTGGCTGACTCTGCGGGAACTGGATGCCACTTCCATGCAGCAGGGGTTGCAATGCCCTCTTTCTCTGAGCTCATACAGTGGTGGGATGGTTGGTGGAACGTATGAGTCCATGTAGCAAGGACCGCCAAACACTCGACTAAATCTCTTGGCAGTGCCCTGATGTAACTGGCTTCCACTTTGAAACGTGGAGCTGTCAGAACCAAAATGACTTGTCTGTTCTTATTTAGCATAGTGGTAACAGAAAGGCAGATGGATTCCCAGAGACCTGATCCTTATCCACCTGACTGTTTTTCTTGGCTGTAACTCCTGGATGACTCTTGCTTAGCACATGCAGATGTATGGATTTCGGCTCTGCCTAAAGCAAAGGGTGGGGGACGACAGCTTTTCATTGTCATATCAGTATCAGCTGTGGGACTCAGCTGGAGCGCTGCACTCTGCCCCTGCACTGCTGAGAAGCTGAACATGGGGAGCTCTTTACACAGCAGGAGAGAAGGCTTTTAACTTCTCAAGGGTTTGTCTGCACAGGGAAGCTTGTAAAATAAGGTAGTGCAAGTCTGCAGCGCAGCCGCTGTGTCAGTTCTGCAAATGAACCTCTTAGTCCACGCTAATAAGTCTTCCATATGCGAGAGATTATGAAAACTAAGTTGGATGTCTTGCTCAGGAAAAGCTTTTTTCTTCCCTTTCTCGTTCTCCTTCTATTCTTTCTTGCCAGTTAGCTTAATCCCCTCCCAGGGTGAGCCGCTAGACAGCGGTGGTCATACACAGGGAAAGGCTAGTGTATTGCTTGGCTCCTGAGATGCGGGTCTCTTCACCAAGTCTGTGTTGGCTACCCACCTTGTATGGGAGACCTGAGGGTTTCCTAGCTAGCCAGGCAGCAAAGAGTTAATGTGAAGCAAGGCCGTGTGCTGCAACAGTGAGTGGGTTGATAACCTGACCGGTAGAAATACTTTCCCTGGATACAAGAAAAAAGACTGAACCATAAAATCGTTGGGAAAAGTAGCACACGGGTTTTGTATAGGCTTACAGTGGAGAAAGACAAAAATGTACATGCACAAACATGTTTAAAATAATGATTCTAATTTCCTCTAGCTCCTATAATAAAACAATCCATTGTTATTTGTATTATTACTCTCCTGTCCTTGCTGCAGGGACCATTTATTCTACTCCAGAACAGTGGGTCCTGTGCAAAACCTGTCATTCTTCAGAGTCCACTTAATAAACTGCCTAGGCTCAGCAGGACACAAATTGACAGGCACATTGTGTGGCTTTCAAGAATCCTGCTTCTGGTCTCATTAAGTAGATGAAAGTGACACTATGAGGGCTGGAAATTAGCAGTGGCCTCCAAGCCACCACTGTGACTGTCGGGCCATTTAAAAAATGATTATTCTCTATTGCTTGTTGGGCCAGAAGTAAATACAGATGAGACTCCAGCACCTGCTGAGAGCAGACTGACTACACAAAAGGCCATTAGGTGAAGCTTGCTTTTCACTTTATTAGTGGGTGTGTGCTATAGGCTTATATTGTACGCTGCAACCTTTATGGACTGGAGTGAAAGCTGAGGGTCAGCTTGACAAAGGTGGCCAGCTGGGAGTGGTGATCCTTTGCCTCCACACTTACTTTGTGGCAGATGGAGTGCATTATGGGGATCTCTGGAACTGAGAATAGAATTGAAGAGGAGGGAGCAGAGAGAGCCCAGTTCATTCTCCAGACTGCTGTTGAGAAATGCTGCCAATTCTGATCAGCCCCAGAGGCTGTTAAATGGAAGTTCACTGTGCTGCTTGTGAGACCCAGTCTTGTTTTGTTGTATGTTAGAAACTGATGTTGCGGGAAAAGGAAAAATTCTCTGTTGGAGTAGAAAGAAACCTTCCTTTGGTGGAAAATGCCTAATTGTTTTCACCCCAAATTAGGGTACAGAGACACCCTTTTGAAAGGATAGCCACTCCTTTCCAAGTGTACAGCTGGACAGCTCCGCAAGCAGAACATGCCATGGACTGTGTCCGAGCAGAAGATGCTTATACGTCTAGACTGGGCTATGAAGAGCACATACCTGGACAGGTATCAGTCTTGCTTTTTCTGAGAACACTAGTGATAGCGCTGTGTATTGCACTGGGAGCCTGTTAACTTTTACCAGCACGTAGAGCTCTGGTGTTTGAGGAAGGGTCTTGCTTATCAATGGAGAACTTGCATGAGCTCAATGAGAATGAGTTGAGCTCGTTCTCAGCTATGTTCTTGAACTGTAGAGGGATGTGCTGCTCAGAGTATAACTTTCCTGAGTACATATAGAGGTCTGAGCAGCAATTTCTGCATGAGTATCTACAAGTCTTGTGTCCCTGCTCCAGACACCTGACTAATGCCACTGAACTGCACAGAAAGCAGAGCACCCCTCCATCCAGGTCAGTCCGGGAATGGCTAGCTCTTGTTTCCAAACAAGCAATTCCAAATGTTTTGGTTGCAGTGTCGTAGCACGAAATCTTCCAGACCTTGGAGTGGTGCAGCCTGTAAAGGCTGCACACGGGTGGTTGTCTGTCTGCAGTGTGATCATGTCGCAGTGTGCTGGCTAGTGAAATCTGCACCATGTTACTCCAAAGCTGTCAATCTGGTATTTCAGTGAAACTGCACTGTGTATCTTGGACCAATGTAAAATATATCCCAAGTTACCGTTGAATAAATGCCGCTCTCAATGACTGCTCCTGCTGTTAATTCACTTCCTCTGAACGTCATGCCAGCCTAAAATTCCCCCTGCCGTTCCCTTCTCTCACCAACTGCCATGTAAACTAGAAAACACTGATTTTTCCCAGCCCCTGCCTACACAATGCATTGCTTCCCACAAGGCTTTGACTCTTTCAGACCAGAGACTGGAATGAGGAGCTGCAGACCACGCGAGAGCTACCGCGCAAGAACCTACCAGAGAGGCTGCTGAGAGAACGAGCTATTTTCAAGGTAACTTTGGGATGTGCAGGCAACTCTTACTTGACCCCATCTCTGCTGTCCCTATCACACCTGGGCTCTTTGCCTGGGTTTATCCTTTAAAAACTGCAGGAGGAGGTTCTCTGAGCTAAGGAGTCTTGTTCTTGCATGTCTGCCTTCTGCTGTCAGCCTCTTGGGGAAGAGTTGCACTCCTTGACCCGTATCTCTCTGCCAACTGTGAGGCAAGTGCCTCTTAGTCCTGTGCTGTTCTGTTTGATCCAGTCCTCCTTTGAGCGGGTGGGAGGAACAGGGGAAGGATGGACATGCATAAGCGTAAACCCTCCTCTGCAGAGAGAGCTATGGTGGTCCCTAGTGTTCTGGATTTTGGAGCATGTACGAGCTACTAGTTGGGCTTGCAAAAGTAAAAGCCAGGTGACCTGCCTGCTGGAGGGCCAGGCAGGTGGTGAGGAGCAAAGAAGAAGGTTGCAGAGAGCTTTGAGAGCAGAGTGCTGGGAGGGTGTGAGCCCTTCCTTACCCAGCTCTCTCTTCACCTCCCTGCAGGTTCACAGTGACTTCACTGCAGCAGCAACGAGAGGTGCCATGGCTGTCATTGATGGTAACGTCATGGCTATCAACCCCAGCGAGGAGACCAAGATGCAAATGTTCATCTGGAACAACATCTTCTTCAGCCTGGGCTTTGATGTCCGTGACCACTACAAGGACTTTGGAGGAGATGTTGCTGCTTACGTAGCTCCTACCAATGACCTTAATGGCGTGCGGACCTATAATGCTGTGGATGTAGAAGGGCTGTACACACTGGGGACTGTAGTGGTGGACTACAGAGGCTACAGGGTGACAGCTCAGTCTATTATTCCTGGGATCTTGGAACGGGAGCAGGAGCAGAGTGTGATCTATGGGTCAATAGACTTTGGCAAGACAGTTGTCTCGCACCCCAAGTACCTGGAGCTGCTGGAGAAGACTAGCAGGCCACTTAAGATCCAGAAGCACAAAGTCCTAAACGACAAGAATGAGGAGGTGGAGCTGTGCTCCTCAGTGGAGTGCAAAGGCATCATCGGCAATGACGGGCGTCACTACATCCTGGACCTGCTCCGCACTTTCCCTCCAGATCTGAACTTCCTGCCTGTTGAAGGGGAGGAAATGCCAGAAGAATGTAAGAAAATGGGGTTCCCCAAGCAGCACAGGCACAAGCTTTGCTGTCTTCGGCAAGAGCTTGTTGATGCCTTTGTAGAGCACAGGTGAGCTGAGCTCTCCCCTTCTTCCACATGCACACTGGTAACAGTCCGAGTCAGGACCACACTGCCTTGTCCCAGGGACATTGCCACACAGCTCCTAGAATAGTGCAGCTAATGCCTTTGCCCCTGCAGGTGCAGTTATAGAAACTTAATCACTGAGAGATTAAAACGGTGAGGTTTCTGACAGTGTTACAGGGAGCTGGAGAAAGAGATGGCTTTGCTTTTTAGTCTCCCAAGTCTTATTTGCATGTGTTCTCTCTTGTAATTTCCTGTCCAAAGATTTAGAAGTTCTTTTTTCTCTGTGGATATCCTGTAGTCCTGATGTCTAGGGAATAGGAAGGATTTATACTCCTCTTTCAGGCTCTTGATGTATTGGATGCAACACTTTTGTCCTAGAGGCTGGAAAAAAGTACGTGTGAGCATCGACTTCCCTGCTCGTACCATACAGGCAAGGAAGTGGGAGCTCTGGGAGTAGCATGAGCCACCATGTGGAGCTGGTGTTAATGCTCTTCTTTCCTACATGGAGGACTGCGGAGTACTCTGCTACCACAGGTGGTCAGAGTGCGATTTCGCTCTTCAGGAAGACAAGCCCTCCAGTTGCTGGCTGAGGAGCCCTGCCCACTGAGCAGCCAGTTCTGCAGCCAGGTGCTCTTCCCTGTCCTACCGCATGCCCACAGGTGGGCTCCACTGCTCTGCAGGAGAGCTCCCCGGCCAGCAGCATGCAGGGCTGTGGCCGTAGGGTGCTGCTGCTCCTTGGCTGGGAGGGGTTGAGCCTCCTTGTGCTAAGATCTGGCAAAATTGCTGTTGGTTTTCATTTACCATAGTCCTGTGCATCCGACAGCAGGGCTAAGAGTCTTTCTGAGCTGTCTGCTGGTTCTGCGTGTGAAAAGTAGTTGGTAACTGCTGCAAAGAGACTAGTTTCCACTGGATTGGATATGAACTTCACTTTTTTTTTAAGCTTTTTTCTCTCTTCATTACATTATTTTAACATCTGTTGTTAATGTGTACCGCTTTGATATGGGAAAGATCGTGGATAAAGGGCATACATCCTGCCTTTGCACAGGACAACTGGATGGTCCTAACTTTATCAGTTTCTCCCCTCCTAGAGGACTGTTGCTCCTCTTGGGTTCTCCTGCTGTGTATGTGATTTGTCTTTTGAATTCCTCTTTTCTTTTACTATAGATACCTCTTATTCATGAAGCTGGCAGCACTGCAGCTAATGCAGCAGAAAGCCAACAAACAGGAAAGCTCAGGTGCATTGGAAAATGGCACCCCTCCAGAGAACGGGACTGCAGACAGCGAGAAGTCCGAGTCAGATGATGGTAAAATAGATGATAATGTGACTGGACTTGAGCAGGTTAAAGAGCTTGCTGAGACCATTGCATCTGACGATGGAACAGGTACCTACCAGCAGCAGCCCAGGGCTCCTGCACTAGCTGGCGGGCTCTCTCTGTTATGAAGAGAGCCAATCTGAGGGTGGTCAAACAGGACAAGCACTGGCTTCTTCAATTAATCTTGGTTTAGCCATTGTGAGAGCTGTCCACACACTAATAAACTAATTTCCCCTGCTGTCCTGGAGGCAGTTTGGGTAGGTGGGCTAAGTATCTCTGAAATACAGCAAACTCATCAGCTCTGACAGAAGAATGAGAGCCTGATCAGCAAGCTGGCCTCCTGGGGGGGTCAGCAACCCACAGACTGGGTGTCAGATACTTAGTGCGGGTCTACGGTGAGTGAGGTCTGGCAGTGCTGGGGAGTCCAGTGCTTAAACACATCTGAAAATCCTAGATTTGAAGATGAGTGTCTAAGGTTGCAGGGGAGGGTACATGGGTGTCCTAGATAAGTGCATGTGCTCTTGTTCAAATTTTGTGTTCTGCATCTATTCTCCCTCCCAAATGTCTTACCACTGACTGTCCACTGAATTTCTGTAGTGTGCGCCATTATCATAGCTTTTAGTAACAAAACTTTCTTACTTTCATACCTAGTCCTGTCATTTTCTAAAATCTACACTTGTTTTTATTCTCTTTTCCTTACTACTCCAGTGGATCCCAAAAGCAGAGAAGTGATTCGAAATGCTTGCAAGGCTGTAGGCTCCATTAGTGATGCATCATTTGACATTCGGTTTAACCCAGATATTTTCTCACCAGGTATGTGCACAGAGAACTGGGTTTTGTCCTTCTTTAGAGGATTACTGTGTCCAGCCAGCTACAGACAAAAGCTTGTGTTCTGTAGCCAGTAATAACGCTGGCTTCTGGCTAGCTAGGCATGGTGCAGGGTTCTCCATGCAGCACAAAGATGCAGAAGAGGGAAAGAATAATTGATTGCAGTGCTCAAACTACCAAACGCAGGTGGTAAGCTGCCTCCCACCATGATGCTCAGGGGAGGTCTGCAGAGCAAGGTCAAGAACTTTCATGTGTTCCTCTAGCATTCCAACTGCTAGACCACATGACAAGAGGCGAGGTGGGGGAGGGGGGGAAGCCATTAAATTTGGTCCTAACGTTTTCTGTGCAAACAACCACAATAGTTGTAGTTGGACGACTGATGCTGGATCCTCAGTGAAGGGTAGGATTTGTTCTAGCAATATCATGGTGAGTAGGTCACGGTGCCCTTTCAAATATACACATCAGTTGCAGACACTGTATGTAGCTTTCTGTGACCGGAATCGCCGTTCTTGATTTGGAAATATAATACAGCTGCTGAAGGTGTTTACAGGGGTGAACAAAGGCTATATACATACAAATTGTGGGGGAATGGTCATATGGTTAAGTTTAGCTTGGAATAAACATGTCAGAAGGAGCATGTGTTTTGAACACCCAGCCATCCTCTAAGGCTGGTGTAAAGATTAGTGCTTGGGCACTGACTTTGCTGCCAGAACATACAATTGTGTTTTAATTTTGTATGTGCCAAACCAAAAAGCTTTGAGCTTCTAGCGCTTGCAGTATTTGCTGGCCCGTCTGCTGAAATGCGCCCATTCCTGTCTAGCCAGTTGACTCTTTGCACTGTAAGTTGTGTACACAGTACTTTGCAATAGATAGAACAGATCAGATAAAGAACAGACCCTTACTTCAGCGTAGGTAAGGTTCTTCCCACTGAAACATGCTGCAGAGTAGATGGGTCTTGAAGTATCTTTAATTCCAGGGAGGTAGACTCACTTTAGCTTGTTACCTGTTCTTGCTGTATGACTTCTTTTCCCCAAGTTAAGTGTTTTATATTTTCCATTGACTTGCTCTTAGGTGTTCGTTTTCCTGAGTCTAGCAAAGAAGAGGTGCAGGATCAGAAGCAGTTACTGAAGGATGCTGCTGCCTTCCTACTCTCATGCCAGATTCCGGGTTTGGTAAGGAACTGACAGACAGCACTAATGTCTTCCCTGAAAGCTTGCTTCAATTCTGGCCGCTCTGAAGAGCAAGTGTTGATGCAGTCGCATGCTACCCTCTCCTTCCGAGCAAAGGCTGCGTTCTGCTGTCAACTGAAGTTCTGGCACAGGCGGCAAAGCACTGAGAAGGGTGCCAGCATCCCTGATGCAAGCATAAGAGGGATTTTCTGTTTCCTGTTTTACATCATGGCATTATGTTCCCACCTCGCTCCAACCAAGAGTATATATCATTAGTAATTAACAGATTTGTCAAGAGTTGGGAGCAGTAAAGACCATGTAAGTCACCTTCCCTAGTCCTGGGCATCCTGCACTTGTGAGCTGTGCAGTATCGTCTGATTGAATCAATTGATGACTAATAACTCTGGAGTGAACTGGTGAATTGCTCTCTAGTATATATAGTCTAATATCTAGTCTAAACGTTCCCTTTGTAAGTCTTAAGGGTTTGTTTGGGATGCTTACCGGCTCCCCTGCTAGATAAGAAACATCAGCTGTTCCCTTCTTAAGCTGTTCTCTAAAGTGACTGCTAATGTGTTTATTACAGCTGGCCCTCTAGCTAGGAGGGTGGAACTAGTGCTCTTCACTCCAAGAAGCCCAGCAACTCATAGTCACTAAACCCTTGTCAGAGTTCTTTTTTTTTTTTTTCCTCTGAACTCTACCTCTCTGTAAATCCATGAGTTTTGTAGTTAGTCCACGAGTTTTGTAGGGTAGTTTTTAGGATCGGCTAATCAGCCTTAAATAATCTGGAAGGGGAATGAATCAGAAAAGGGCTTGACTTATTTTGCAAGATGCTTCATACACTAGTATCTACATCCGAAATGCTGTGCAAGCATATGCTTGAGGGCAAGTTACAGACTAGCACAGAATTGCTGTAAGCAGGCAGTTAGTTCACAGTACTCTGTATCGGAAAGTAACCGGTGTTGCTTCCTGACATGTGTTAAGTGACTCTTTATCAGCGTTGCAACACAACTTAAAACACAAGTGCCGGTTCCCCTTATCAGCAAAATATGTATAACTCTGTAGCCTTCTAATTGGAAATGTGTTTTTAGTTAGTGACTGTAAGGTCCTTAAAGAAGAGAGCCTGCTAGTTCCACAAGCATTTTTCCTTTCATATCTGCTCTCTGTAAACCAAAGCTTGCATATTCTCTGCAGGTCAAGGACTGCCTGGATCACACTGTGCTCCCAATGGATGGGGCTACCTTAGCGGAGGCCATGCACCAGCGGGGCATCAACATGCGCTACCTAGGCAAAGTGATCAACTTCATCACCAAGACTCCTGGCTGTGCTCAGTTGGATCACATTTTTGTAAGCATCAGGCTTAACTTCAGACTGTCACTTAAAATTGCCTCTGGGAGCACTTGTCCTATATAGGTTCCAACTTGGCTAATTGTTTTCCCTATGTAAAAATAGGCAGCTTCAAAAAAGAGGCGGGAGAAGGAACTGAAGTGGTGGATAAGGGGTTTTGCTTCCAATCCTTAGTGGCTTTTGTTATGTTAGGGAGTCTGAGTGCCCTTTGGGCTATAAACATGCTTCAGGGGCTCCCAAGCATAATAGCAGGTAAACACAGCTTGAAATTTTCAAGCCATACATGTGCCTCTAAAAATCTACAGGGGCTTGGGACTAAGCTGGGGAGCGCTGTGTGTAACCTGCCAGGGGTTACGTGCGAGCCGGTTGGCGATGGTATCGGGCTGAGTACTCGGTGCCCTGTCCTGAGGGTGCTTCCGGTGGTGCCAGGAGGCACCAGCAGAGCTGAGCCCTCCTGCACTAGGTGACTTGTCACCAGGTGTGGGTGAGTGTGAGGACTCTTCTCTGACCCCAAGAGTATTGTCAAATAAAGTACAATGCTGTGCTACAGGGTAGGGTTGCAGAATGAGTCTTCTGCAAATAGTGATCAAAGCCCATTTCAAAAGCAAAGTATACCTTTCATTGCTATTATTGACTGACTCTTAGACTCTGTTCTTTATTTTTGGGTAGAAAATAGGAATCAGTGAATTGATCACTCGATCAGCAAAACACATCTTCAAGACATACCTTCAGGTATGACCTGCAGTCTAGCCTCTTGCCTTGTGTGTTCTCTCTAATGACTTTTTTCCTCTCACAAATAGATAGCTGGTTGAATCTGTTCTCTCACTAGATGGTTCATGGGTGTTGCCTAGCAACTGGAAGTACAATCCCATTACAACTAAAATAAGTATAGACCTGTGTATAAGGGAAAACAAGTTCCCACTTGAAGTTAGCTTTCCCAGAGAATAATCATTCATGATTTTCTTCCCCAGATTCTCATTCATTATGTGTAAAGCTTTTGGAAGTGAAATCACAGCTTGCCTTCCTTGTGATACTTTTCCCCTCTTAAACAGGATTACTTTTACCCTTCTAAGCAGCTCTTTTATTGCATGAACATTAGTGCATCTGTATACCTATATGTATGTAGCATAGTAATATATCTGGTTTTAATCTAATGATGAGTCTGCTTTATAGTCTCAAGCTTTTCTGTCCCAAGTAACAGGCCCAAAATGAAACTGGATGATCAGTATTGACTTAAAACAAAAATGCCATATATATTTATATATACATAAATGTACAGATAGAATCATGTTGATTCTATGTATTAGTTCCACTTGCAAATGTCATGTCTGTCCATATTCATTCACCTCCCCCTGCTATGCCCCTGCCTTGTTTACTGTCTCTCCCTCTCCTGGATGATTTTCCTGTTTCTGGTAGGACTGGGTTTGTGTGAGGCTCAGTCAGAGCAGCACGCGTGTGACTGAAGGTGTTGTCCATGACTGATTTCAGTGTCTTGCTGCAGGGTGTGGAGCTGTCGGGTTTATCAGCAGCCATCAGCCACTTCCTCAATTGCTTTCTAAGCTCCTTTCCAAATCCCATTGCCCATCTTCCAGCTGATGAGTTGGTCTCCAAGAAAAAGAATAAGAAAAGGAAAAACAGGAACCTTGGAAATGCTGATAACACTGCATGGGCCAGCATGACCCCTCAGGAGCTTTGGAAGACTATTTGTTTAGAAGCAAAGAACTACTTTGATTTTAGTCTTGAATGGTAAGCAGAGCAAACTACCCTCACTTGTGCGTGAAGGCTCACCAAATGTCTGTAGCTTTTCTTGTTCTTTAGGACCTGCCTTTTTTAATTTGTTTTCTGTTTAAATGTAAATTTTTTACTCTTCAGGGAATATTACATGTTTAAAACGGAAAGAAATCGGGCAAGGAGCAGTAGGGGGAAGTGTGGGGAAATCTGAAATGAGATGAAACCTATGAGGCAAATGCAGCTAGGAAAACTAGGCGAGGAGAGTTTCAGTGGAAAGTACTGATGTGCAGCTCTCTAACCTTTAATAGACCGTTAGCATGTGAGTATGGCTTGTTAAGCGTTGACTTCAGTTAGCACCTAGTTGTAAAGGGTCCTGTGTTTCAAATAGGCCATGGAGGAGGGACGTGGTGTAGAAACTTACCCGAGAGCTCAGCTTGTATGTGCTTTTGCAGTGAGAATGCTGACCAAGCAGCTGAAGCGTATAATCTGCAGAAAATCACCCTCCTTCGTGAAATCTCCCTGAAAACTGGAGTCCAAGTAAGATCCACATCATCCCTCCCTCCTGCATAGTGTTCTGTCCTGAGAAACTTGAAGGTTAAGTGCTGTTTGTTAAACAGCTTTGCAGGGGACAGCCTTTCAGAAGGACAGTGCCTGCCCCTGAAGGTCTTCCTGTGGCATTAATGCTGGAATACAGGTGCTAGCCTTATGACAACGTTTCTAGGGATGTGCCCTTAGAGGGTAACTTAACTGTGCATCTCCTTGGAAGGTTTGTCTGCCTGAATACAGTTCCTGCATCTGGTTCTGTCTGACAAACCAAACTATCACATCTAACTCTCATGCATGTACGTGCACCCACCCACCCACCCTCCCCCATTCATGCAAAAGGGAAACAACTCTTTGGCTGAATACAGTAGGGCTTGGGTTGCCCTCATCTGAAAAACAGTTGGCTTCCTTCCCACACCACTGCCGCCTTGTTTTTCTCTTGTGTGTGGGAGTGCAGCAGGACGGTGTCTCCCTGTGGTGGGTGCTGGTGCTGGCATGACCTTGCTGTGGCACTGCAGCACTCTCACCACGAGCACAGGGGTGTGCACACAAACTTCCTCCAAAACGCTATCCCCAAGTAATGACACAGGAGGTGTTTTGGCTGTGAAGCCCCAAGCAGAATTCAAGGCTAGTTTTCCCCTCTGCTCTTGACAAGAACTTCATGGAAGTCCTGACCGTGACCTTCTGTCTTTTTGGTTCCTCCAGATACTGCTGAAAGAGTACAACTTTGACAACCGGCACAAGCCTACCTTCACAGAAGAGGATATTCTCAACATTTTCCCTGTAGTGAAGCACGTAAACCCCAAAGCCTCAGATGCTTTCCACTTCTTCCAGAGCGGGCAAGCAAAAGTTCAGCAAGGTACAGACCTAGCATGCCCCTGCCTCTTCAGGTTACTGCTGGTGAAAAGAGCAGGCCATGCATGGCCTGCTGCCTTTCACCAGTATATGTCCACCTCGCTAGAGGAAAGAAATATGGTCTCAAAGACCATCTGGATCACAGATCTGCTGTAAAGCTATCAGCTATGAGCAAGGATGGATATGGGAGAGCTATTTCTTTCTCCCAGGTTTTAGTCCTTACGTAAGGCAGTGACCTAAAGCTACGTATCCCGCTGCTGTTTTCTTGAGCCGCATAGATTTCCGTACACGGAGAATACATTTCTCCAGTAGCATTAGGGGTTAATTATCCTTCTGGCTCAGGACTTTGGTGAAGAAAATCTGCTCAATATTTTTGATAGTAACTTTCTTCCCAGGAGGTTACGGGTGAATGCTTAACAAAAACTTTTCTTTTTTCCCTTCCCTGCCGCTTCAGGTTTCTTGAAGGAGGGCTGTGAGCTCATCAATGAAGCCTTAAACTTGTTTAACAATGTGTATGGTGCTATGCATGTAGAAATCTGTGCCTGCCTGAGGCTGTTAGCTCGTCTCAACTATATCATGGGAGATTATTCAGAGGTAGGCAAGTGCTCACTGGGGCTCTGTTTGGTCCTCCCGTTCTTTCCCCCATGCTTCCTTGTTCAAGTACATGGCTTCTGCATGACTTGCTCTTTGGTCTTCTGTTCTGTTTAGGCCTTAAGTAATCAGCAGAAAGCGGTGCTAATGAGTGAGAGGGTCCTGGGTATTGAACATCCCAATACGATTCAAGAATATGTAAGTACAGGGTGCTGGGGGAGAAGCAGCACCTCATGGGTGCACCTGGCATCTGCGAGCCTTAATTCATGTCTGAATCTAGATTTGCACTTCTGCCTTTACAACAACATTCTTCCCAGAATCCTCTACTTCTATCATAAGCTCACAATTTTTCTTGGGAGTCTCTGGTTCCCAGTTGGCTACTTTATTATTAGGACAAAATATGTGGGCAAAAGAGCTTCTGCAAGCTTGAGACTTCATGGGTTCATAAGAATTAAAGGAAAAGGTTTGAAATCTAGGCCTTAATACTATGTTTGAAAATAAATACAGTGTTAGCTGGGGAAGAGAGGCAAGTCGGAGACAAAGATCTGTCCACAGACTGGCAGCTCTGACCTACAGCTTTCAAAAGCGCTGTTGGCAGAAAGCACAGGGTCTTGCGGTTGCTCGCACTTGAATCTTTTCCATATCTTAAGATTATGTGTGGGTTGCTTATAACCCAAACACTTAAGCATTCAGTACATGATAATAACTTGAAGTCTTACTTAGTTTAGATTTGGGGGGGGAGGGGGGGAAGGCTCTGCTGCATGTTTATATAGGGATTCATTAATTCTGATGGCTTTTTCCCTGGGCTTGTGTCAAAAACAAGGAAAGGCCAAAAACCCTCCCAAAGAGCTCAGCTAGGCTATCACATACGTATAGATCAACTTTGAAATATTCCTGGAGGTGCCGAAGAAATACTGAAATGAAATATTTCAACTCTTTCTCAATCCTGTGTCTTATGTAGGTACCTCAGTAGAGCTGTAAATTGACTAGCAGGCTTGTGTCTTTTCTGAATAGTTGAAATCCTCTTTCGCATGAAAGGAAGATCTTTCTTGTGTGACTATGGCAGTGGAATGGAGAGATCATTTGGCTTTAGAAAGTGGTAAACAACATTCATGCTTGATTATTTCTTGTGTTGTAGATGCACCTTGCTCTGTACTGCTTTGCAAACAGCCAGCTCTCTACAGCATTAAACTTACTGTACCGTGCACGCTACCTCATGCTACTGGTATTTGGGGAGGATCACCCAGAAATGGCACTCTTAGATGTAAGTAATTTCTTAGTCAATGTCTTCAGGAAACCTCTTGGCCTTTGAAATGCCCATATTGCTGAGCTATTTAAAATGTCCATATAGGCATTGCTTTTTCCTCCTTGGGTTACTTCCGATTAGTACCATTATGAGAATGGGAAAAATGGAGTTTATGACTATTTGGCTAGGAAGGCCAGCCTTCTGTAGCCAGAGGTCTTGCGCTGGAGATGTGGGTTCAAGTCCTGTAATCCTTGGGATAAGTCCTTAATTTAGCCTGGTCTTTGTTCCTCTCCATAAAATGGAGAGAGCTCCTTATCTCTGTTCCGTCTGGTTTGCTTGAACTGGAAGTGGGAGAATGGTCTCATGTCATGTGTTACATGCCATAGAGATGCCTTTCTTTAGGCATCTCTAGCCCTTATCTGAGGCTAGACAGCCTTTTCAGGCAGTGAAATACCTGTGGTTTTATTTACAAAACAACAAATACTTAGGTTTTGCCTTTCTGAATGCCTACTTGACTTCTTTTGTGTGGTGGCTCCATGCAGAACAACATCGGCTTGGTGCTCCACGGAGTTATGGAGTATGACCTGTCTCTCCGGTTCCTGGAGAATGCCCTGGCCATCAGCTCCAAGTATCATGGCTCCAAGTCCTTGAAAGTTGCACTAAGGTGAGGCACGGTGGAGTGCTGGCCTGGATCGCAGCACTGTTAGAGAGCGAATACGTTCAGCATACGCCTAAATGGGAGGGCTCTGCTCTGGCTGCGTCCAGCTGAATCCTTACAGATTCTGCCTAGTCCCAGCTGGTCTGTCAGGCTCCTTGGACTGCTGGGCTGCATGCATTCAAGGTCATGGTGCAGCTAGAAAGGTGTGGTGCTAGTCTGAACCGAGCATCCAAGCTTGTCTGGAAGGACGGAGATCCCTTGTTCTTGAAGTTAGTTATGAGATTTGCTGTAATACTTCTCGCCCCAAAATATGACAGAATGACCCTGGTCCTTGTGGACTACCAGTAGAAAAATGCATGTGGCGAGTAAGGTTGGAGAGCAAGGCTAATGTAATCATACTGTGAGAATAGGATGATAGGTAACGTTTGTATTCAATTGTGTCAGCCCTCAGGGAGCTGTCTTTGAGATGTGTATCACTTGCTTTTGTCCTTTACCATTAAAGCTCTATATTTGAATAACACACTTGTGTTTCCAAGGGAGCTATGAGTGGTCAGCACCTTTAGGATCAGCTCTAAGTACGTACTGCTTTTCAGCACTGTGTGTGCTGTCCTTGAATGCGAAACTGGCTCACAAACAACCGAGCGGTGGCCCACTCCTAATTACTACTACCCCTTTGCAACTCATCTGTTCTTCGTCAGAGTGAAAATAAATCTTACGAAGCGCACACAAGAGTCTGATTTGTTTTCTAGTAGTTGATTGATATGCTTTCCGCAGAAAGCGTCTCTCCTTCCCTCAGTAGCGCTAAGATGCTTGATGAGATCCAGCACCTCCCACAGAATAACACTGCCAAAAATAGAAATCTTTTCTTCATTCCAAAAACATTAAAGATGCAAAGTCCAAGTCAAATCAACTCTCCCAACTGGAGAGAGACCAGCTGACTTGGATCCCTGCTCTGCCACTGTTTTGCTAGTTGTTTCTGTACCAGAAGATTTTTGACTTTTGGCTGGACCAATCAAGTTATTCGAGCATTTGCTTTCCAAGAAAGAAAAAGCCTCTTTTCCAATGGGAAGGGCTTACGGCTGCTTGCTTTTCCTTCACTTAACTCTGGCTACTGAGATGTTCCCATGGACATGCTGCAGTCATTCAGTATTGCACTGGAGCCTTTCCTGCAGTACCCCAGGAAATCTGGTCTGCTGTCAAAGCCCCCAGTTCCATCTCTTCTGTAGATCATTTCTCACTGTTTCAAGAAAAGTCAAGCCCAAATCATTGTTGTATATTAATCCAAAAATGGGGGGTGGGGAAGTAACTCCCAACATACTGTATTCAGAGTCCAGTGTCTCACTTGGTGCTAGTATTAAGACTTTTAGACTCTGTTTTGCTAAAGCCATGTTCTATGTAGTGCAGAAATGTTTCTTCGTATAGTCCCTCTAAAGGCTTTTCTTCCCCTCGCAGTCACCACTTGGTAGCCCGAGTGTATGAGAGCAAAGCAGAATTCCGGTCAGCTCTGCAGCACGAAAAGGAAGGCTACACGATCTACAAAAATCAGGTTACAAGCGTGTGTTCTGTTAACTTTTATTGTATCTCTTTCCTGTGAGAAGTGAGCACTACCATTGCAAAAACAAATCCACAGCTTACAACTGAAGGAGGCAGGATTGCTGCTGTGTGCCATAATTGACAGATTTTTATGCCAAAACAGTCTTTGAAAGGACTCCTTCCTGCAAGTTTGTCTGTTTTTGCCGTACCCTCATCACTGGACAGAAAAGTCCAACGTGGCTTGGCCCCATGTGGAGTGTGTGATTTTTGTTGCTGCTGAAACAGAGCAAACGCATTCTGGCAGGGCACTAAAAGAGCTGGTATATCCTTTCCACTTTTTGCGTTGCCTGTCTTAAATGTCAGAGCCAAGCTAGCTTAGTAGTTGAGCTGTTCCATGGGCAATAACCTCTCCTGCTTGCCAACCCTTGCTGATGCCCAGTAAAACTTCTGCCTCAGCCTGGCATCTGCCTGAACATGTCTGCAACTGCACAGCTGTGATTCAGTGCCATCTCACTGACTGAAAGCACAGCCTGGCGGAGGGAATGCTTCTCACCCTGCAAACATGCTTCTACTTGACAGAAATGTGTAACTTTGACAATAAGGCTCTTACAGTAATGTGGGGTGGTGGAGTTTTTTTGTTGGTTGGTTGCTTTTGTTTATTTGTTTTATTAATGTCAAGGCAGGTGAAATCCAGTTCTGATAGGTTTCTGTAAGGATGTGAAGCCAGCAGAGAGTAGGAGTGCACACAGGTTTGGGTGGTGTTCTGATCTGTAATGTGACTTCTTTTCTGATTAGCTTGGAGAACACCATGAAAAGACCAAAGAGAGCTCTGAGTACTTGAAATACCTGACTCAGCAAGCAGTCGCTCTTCAACGCACAATGAATGAGATCTACAAGAACGGATCCAACGCGAACATTATGCCACTTAAGGTAACCTCATGCATTGAGAGCAATTGAGAGTACTTGCTGCAGCGGCAGAGACTGTGTTCAGCTGTAACTGAAGAGCATGTGAGTGTAAGTGTGCAGACTTCTGCCTGTGCAGGAAATGTTAACAGCTGTACCAGTTGCAGACACTCCACAGGCAGGAGGTTCCTGTAAGAGCAGCAGCTCAGATAGACCCGGCAAAGTATAAACAATGAGAATTTGCCCCCTCAGCTTCTAACTGTCCTGGGCTCTAGCTCTTTCTCCTGAGCTCAAGCAGTCGAGGGGCTGAAGCTGACAGCGTTGCAGGGCAGCTAGAGAAATGAGTGAGAATGACCTGGGCAGCTTGCAGCACGAGAGCCTGGACCGCCCACTCCTAAACCTGCCCCTGCTGCTGACTCACTGGCTGTAGGCAGGTTGCTCAATGCATAAGTACCTTGGTTTCCTCATCTTAAATGCTGTCATCTTTCACCAGGTGCTTTGTTCTCCTTCCAAGAATGGTGTGGTGCTGGGAGGCTGGGCCGCGGTGTGGCGCAGCGGGGGGGGGCTGTTTTGCCTTGCCTTGGTGCACTGGGACCGATGGTCCGTGTGGGGCCAAACCCAGCCACTCTTATCTGCGCGTGCACCTGCTAGATCGCACCAGCCTGTCTGCAGCGTATCTTGGGGAGTACGTGATACCGTGCGTGAGGAGTGCTCTCCCTGACGTGCTGCACACAACTGGTTGTCAGAGGATTGGGAAAGTCTGTAGCTGCCCAGACTCCCTCCCAGTCAGAAGCGGGGAGCAGAGTAGCTCTTTGGGGTTGGTTTGGGTTTTCTTCTCACTGCAAAGAACTGGATACAAAATTGAGAAGTCTATGGCAAAGTAACTTGAGTGTAAGGACTTTGAATCAAGTGAGTGGTCAAGTCTGGGAAATAGTGTCCATCAGAGAGGCTCAACCCCACAAAATAGCCTTTGTGTAACAAAGGTAAATTCTTCATTAAGTGGAAGAGTTGCAATTTGCGCCGAATGTCACAGTTAATACTGTTACTCCTGGGACGACGGTCCTGCCTATGGCACCAAGAGACCATCTATCTTTGGAAATCCTTTTGCACCCTCCTCAGTATACATCGTTGCAGTTGTCCTCCTATGGCTATCCATAGTACTACACAGGGGCACAGGTGCTCTGTAACCCTGTATGTGAACACCTCAAAAACAAGGCAAGGGAATTATTCCTCATCTGTAACAGTGGGTTAATATAAATGCAGAGAAGTGAAGGGCAATGTTAAGAAATTAATGTATTTGAGACTCTAGTCCAGTTCTGCTCATCTCCTGATGGACTGGCTTAACTAGATGTTCATTTCTCTGTTTACGTGCCAGAGGAAAAAACCCAATTCTGGTTGCTGTGATAGAGCAAGAGATCATGAACACACATATATATTGAAGTTAACTGAATTCCCATGGAGTTCAGAGGGGAGGTTGCCTGAAGTGAATGGGGACATCTAGATGTAGGTTTTTTAGCAGCTTAAGGAGGTGGAAAATAGGAGCAATGTCATCTTGCAGCTAATAAAACTAGTGACTAATGTGAGTTGTAACTGTTAGTAACAGCTATGCCTTTCAGCATAGGAGGTACAGGTGGAAGGGAAAAGTCTTTGCTTGGTCTAGATTTGCTTAAGAGCTCTTAATTGTTCTGTGGGTTTTGGTTTTTGTTTTACCTTGTAGTTCACAGCTCCCAGTATGGCCAGCGTCCTGGAGCAGCTCAATATTATCAATGGAATTCTCTTCATTCCACTAAGGTAGAGTGATACTGATGCATGTGGTGCTTTTATCAGTGCCTTAACACATGGCTTTATAAAATCAAGTAGTTGCTTTTTTTCCTTTGGCCCTGAGAAATCATAATCCAGTGCTTCCCTTTGCACTAAGAGTTAGTCTGACCCAAAATGTGGAGCTTCCAGTGATCTCAGGTACTGCTGCCTTTTTTTTTTTCTCTCCCCTTCTGCCAGCATGTGGCAAATAATGGCACAAACATATCACTTCTGCAGACGAATTGCTTTAGGGGGTGGTACAGTCCCTTGAGGTACGCCTGAGCACTTGCAAAGGGACGTTCTACAGGATCCCTTGGCAATCCTTAGTGACGTGAAAAAAATCTTCTAGGTTGTAGGAAGTGTCAGGGTCTCTTTCAAAACGGTAATCTTGAAGTTGTAAGCACCTGATCTCATAAAACCTAAAATTCCTCTGTGTAGCTTAAAGGAATTAAGGCAAGTTTTGGGAATTCTGAGTATCAGTGGGTAAGAACAATGGTGCAGGGTATGCCCTGGGGGTTGATCTGCAAGCAGACAGGGAGCTGATAGTCTGTTTCCCCTTCTAACCCTGTCACCCCTTGGCAGTAAAGAGCTCCTTTTGTTTAGCTCCATTTGAAGAGTGGGATGTGGCTGGACTATGGTCCATAGTCTCTACCCAGAAGAAGGGAAGTTAGCAGCCTTAATTCTTAAATTAGCAGTGCTAATTCTTAAAGAATAACTTTGGCTCTTACCCGGACAAGACTGCTTTACTGGGTAGCAGCCCTAAGTATTCTGGAGGCTTTCTTTGCCCAGCTTCACAGGATTTGGTAACAGAGTATTGAGTGAGACCACAGTACTGGCTCTGATTGTTATTATCTCTTTAAGACCGGTAGCAAACTGCACTGGTCTTTCTTATTTATTTTTCACTTGTCATAAATCATTGTCTCCTAAACTGGTAGCTAGAAATTCTGCAGTGGGCTGGGCCTATGAAAAGATGACTGAGCTGAGACTATTTTTCTAAGCCTAGAAATAATCAATGAAGGTAAAAGTGCAGCAGAAGTAGCTGAAGGCTGTCTGGACAGAGGCAGGATTAACCTCACTGCCTCTGTAGCCAGAGTGGCAATTGATGGGTCACTTCCCAGTGCCTCTTGCAGTTCAGAAACAACTGGCAAGCTTGGCACTTAGCAATGCCTGTCAAAGCAGGGCTGAGAAATCAGAATGGGGATCTGGCAGGAAGGAGGTAATTGCCAGAAGCACTGCCTATTTTTTTTTGAATGCTACCTTTGGCTATTCCTAAAGCTAATCTAATATTTACTACCCTTCCTCATTTCACCTTCAGCCAAAAAGACTTGGAGAACCTTAAAGCAGAGGTGCAGCGACGCCAGCAACTTCAAGAAAGCATAAAAAGTGGTGAACAGCTGGAACCAGAGGACAAAGTCTTGGAGGAAAAAGAGGCTGAGCCAAGCATGCCTTCTGCTGAGATCCCTTTAACACAAAGCTTTGCTTAATGTGTACCTCGCTTTAAAAAAAAAAAAAAAAAAAAAAAAATTTAAACCACCCTTTTCTGAATCTGAACCAGGGTCTTGGACTCCCCTGGAGCAGCTCCTCCTTTTTTTGACAATGTTATTGCACTGGTACAATTAATACACAATGCAAAGAACTAATCTGAGAAATGTAATCTGTCTGACTGAGCGTGTATCTGCCACATGAAGGGGGAAGGTGGCCAGGATGCAGCAGCATATGAAAGACCCATCCTAGGTGAGCACAGCCAGAGGCTGTCATGCCTGTGTGTGTGTATGTGTGTGTGTGTGTGCATATCATCAGTTATTTCTACTTTGTACATATGAATTCCAAATGAACTGTCTTGAGGTATATAACATTTCTCAGGTCATTTTTATGTTGACTAAGGACACTGCTTTGCTAAAACAGTACAACACCACCCCCCTCCCCCCCCT